TTGTTCTCGACCTACAACATCTGTAAAACTGTTTGCACGCTTGGGAAAAAATGCTGATGTCTGCTTAAACACTGACATCTCCTCAGGTACACAGGATTTTGTGTTGGTTTTGAAGTTCAACTTTTAAGCTGTAAAAGGATTCTGAACTAAACTACTGCCTCACAACTTCAACATTTTTGTTTTAGGGACCTCAAAAGTTTGACTAGAGAATCTCTAGTACTTGACCATCAGGTAAGAGAATAAATGACTTCATTGCTCCATGGAAAAAACCATTGAACCCTCAGTTCTTAGGCAGAGTTTTCCAAGTCGGTTTGTACCAAAAGGAATCAATCCATCCACTGGTCTGAACGCCACTGCCTGGGAATAAAATGAGAGTCTCTCTGCTATACCTATCATAGGGTATCTACTACTAACAAATAAAGATTACTACTGCCAGAAGGCAGGACTTTAGGATACAGAAAGATACACATTCTAGCTCTACTACTGCAGCATTTCAGGTGGCCATAAAGCGCAGCACAGCGCCTAAGTCCACAGCTACCCTACAACTCCGGCAGTGCTGCGCTATTTCACTTTCAGCAATTTGTGTCCTTTGATTCGGTTGCACACTTGACCTGGCTAAACCTTCCTCCAGCTGCGAAAGCTGCGTGTTGTGGCAGCGCTGGCTCGGTAGCGTTGTGAAATCAAGTGGGAGGCCTCATGCACTCATTTGTGTGGCAGTACCCAGAATGCTGCTTCTCGCTTCCAGCTACTCCATGGCAGCGCTGCTGGGACCCGAACCGTGGGAACAGCGCAGCGCTGCGCGTGTGGGTGTGCTCGCACGTGTGCAAGTAGAGCTCTCGCGTTCTCTCGGGATCTGATCACATACGGCTTTGCTAAAAGCACTCATGTCTGGTACACAGGTAGGAAATATGAAAGCATTGTCAAATGTTGCTCGGTTCAATATTTAAAAAAAAAAGAAGAAAAAAAAGGGCTCAAAGGAGACAAGAGTCAAACCCATCCTCCTTTACTGGAAATAGCAACCACCAAAGCCTTCAGGCCTGCTTTCTGAGCTAATTCAATCACAGCAGAGGCACACTGATGTTAAGAAAGCAGAGCGCTGTCACACAGAAGTAGAAAGAGAGCATGAGGCACACACCAAGGCCACGTCCATACCAGCAAGCGAACACCCAACAGGCTCCCAAGCTCAACAAAAAAGCCTTGGCACCAACGATGAATTTCTAGGACCCTGTTTTGCAACTCTGTCAGGTTACTCACATTTTCAACTTCTAGAAATACCCCAGAATGTAATGGCTGTGCTCCAGTAATGGTGGATAAAGTGAGAGACGGGTAGGGAAATGGGACACCCACTCAAGTAAAAGCTGTATTGGTGCATGGAGACTCTGAAAAGACCAGAGAGAAAATGAAGCAGAAAAAAAATCCTTCATGAGCACGCAAGAAGGTGGAAAACCCAGTGAGGGACACAAACAAAGGAAAACGGAGAGGTTATCATACGGCTCAAGAAAAGAGAGAGCTTTGGGAAGTGGCAGAAGGTGAAGAAACTCATGGGAGGTCAATCACTCATCCATGGATGAACCAGGAGGATATATGAATGAAAATTTTAGAAGAGGATAAGGAAAGTGGCTGAGGCCTCCATGGTTCTCGTGCTAGTGGGGGCTCCAACTGTCACAGCTCCCTCCAGTTTTTGGCTAGGACCCCTTGCTGACTTCATCTATGTCCAGACAAAAGCTTCTTCTGCAAGCACCAAGACCAGGCAACTCGCATCTTGTTCAACCAACCAGGCCAACCGAGACAATATCTCTGTATCTCTGCATGCAAGCATCCACCTTTCAGTGTAGAGAAGTGCACAATGGCTACTTGATGCATACAGAAATATACGTTAGGAATGAAGCACTGAGGTAAAGCTGCGCCTTGTAGAAATGCTTTAAAATACATGAAGGAAAAAAAGGATAGGAAAAAAAGTCAGTTGCCAGGATGCTGAATCTGCAACAGGGGCCTGTGCCAACCCAGCTCCTCCATTTAAGTCAGACCCTTAAAAGGCAGAGCTGTGCTGGCAGAAATCTACAGATCTCATCACATAAGCCTCATGAAGGCACAGAAAAAGGTCAAAAACCTCACTGCTGCTTAAACAGCCATAAAAGTGGTCACATACATCCCATGCTACCAACATACTAACAGAGCCTCAGGGAAAACGCAGCACACCAGGCAATGTGTATGCACACACACATACATAAATAAATTGGGAAACTGATAAAAAGCCTGCTCTTGGGAGTAGAGGACCAAATATCTGACACAGCAGATTATGGCACACAACACACACAAACACCTCTGAATAAAATAGAGCAAAGCAATGCAGAGATCTACATCAAAAAGGAAGACCACCACAAAGACACATATGCTTCACCCTTTCATCCCCAGACAGACAGACAGACACAGAGCCCAACAGCCACACAAAACCCACACAGACCGACAGTAATTAACACACACACTGACATGGGACGTCCTTTCATTTCCTTACTAGGATCTAAACTTTACTCCAATGTTACTTGCCCCTGGCCACAGCCTACCAATCCGAGAGGCTGATTAAATCTCTCCATAATTATCTGCACACATTGCTACAACACAAATGACCTTAGCATACAATATCCGTTGGCTAAGCCCAATGGAAAAAGACTTCAGAAAACGGAAGGATAAGGATACAGAACTCTGCCAGCACTGTCAGGGTCTCCTCCAGACTGCACCACATTAACAGAGAAGCCCTGAAGAGAGCTCCAAAGCCTTGACACTTAAGCCCAGTTCTGCACAGGATGTACAAGAAAGTGTTTTTAATTCTTTCCCCCATCACCTGAGCGCACACCACTTTGTTCTTCCCCATCCAACTCCTTGCCACCTCCCAGATGAACCCACGCAGGAGACCTAACATTTTATGATGACAGAATTTTAACAGAATTTTCTGAGAAACAGACAGCCACGATTTCCTTACACGATTTCTGGCATTCACTATTCCATTTCTGCTAGTGCATGCAGATTTTGGAGAGCGGGGGAAGAGTGCTTGCCACGTTCTGAACCAGGACCTATTAAAGGGTCAGCAAAAAAGTCAAGCAAAGTCAAGATTTAGTGGGCTTTTCTTGTTCTCCACCTGCAGCCTCACCTGGGGTATCTGACAGATGATACAATTGAGCAGAATGCCACAAAGACCTTGTAAGAAAAGCAAAGCGCACCTCCACTAACATTCATTTTAATTAAACCCTGGACATTACCAAGCTAGGGACACAGTATCTTTCTGGAGCAAGAACACAGAGACTTCTTAATTTTGCTTCCCAAACGGAAAATTCACTTCCCAACGTGAAAAATGCCTCCTTTCAGAGCTGGATTCTCCCCTCCCAGACATTCGCATCCATCCATCCCACCATTCCGGCTTAGCACATGACTGACAGAGAATAGACAAGCCATTAAAAACACATCCACCTCCAACCACGGAGATAATGTGGCTCATTACAGCCCAGCTTTGTCACAGCGGTTCTGACGCTCCAGCGGGAGGAAGAGGAGGGGTGAGGACAGGGACTGAAACGGGGGCGAAGCACAAGACCTGGAGAGAAACTGGAACTTGAACGAGGGAGATTCCTTAACCCAAAAAGGCTGAGGCCCATCAGATGGGTTCACTAGGCCTCTCAGGCCAGCTGGAGGAATTGCTGCATTGTTTGCGCAGGATATTTAAAAAACTCTGCGTTTTGTTTGGGTGTTTTTGTTGCATTTCTTACAAAGAAAAGCTCTATTTAAGTCTGAGTGTGTGTCTGCCCCTTTAAACAGGTATTCGGTAGGTTATTCAAGAATTTTACTGAACATTCTCAGCGGGCTTTAAATGCTGCTGCTCTTTTTGAGGCTTGTGTCATTGCCCTTCCACTCCAGACACATCAAACCACAGAAAAGTTTAGAAATCTCAGAAGCATGAGGCAGAATCCAACTAACAAACCTGCGGCATAAAACCCAGCCAGCAAGAGTTTGCTTTAACCTTATATTGTGGGGGGGAAGGCGCAGGAAGGGAATTGCTCATCCCACAGCCAACTGCACCACGGCCAGCGAGCCAGACATCCTGGTGGCCGCAAGCGAGTCCTCAGGGCCCTGTGGCACCGCTGCCCATGGACCAGGCCCGCTGCCAGATGCCAAGGCAGCCTCTCCCACCCACACACCACGGCTTCTGGGATCTAAAGGCAGCTCAGACTGAAAGGAAAACAAAAGAGACCTAAAAAATAACATGCTTGAGCTGTCTGGCTTGGCACAGCACGGCATGGCATGGCATACCTTAAGCTGCTGCAGCTGGCCCTAGACGGATTCATTTACTGAATGTATACATAATCCAATATACAAAAGCCTGTCTGGTGGGGAGATTCAGGCTCCACAGGGATATTCTAAACGCAGGGACTTCTCCATTCACGTTCCATGCACTTAATCTGAACGCCAGCAACCCGCATTACTGTCAGGATTTTTTCTTAGCAGCCACATTTTATTCCAACTCAAGCATTTAGGAAATTTAGCCACCACCTCCATCCCTGGTGGCGTGCAGTGGAGCAGAAAATTGTATCTATTTGCATCTGGAGCGATCAGTAACTGTTATTTTTTTCTGCCTTCTTCCTTGGCTTGACCCCTAAGTAAAGCTCTAAAGACCCGAAATCACATACTTCCTGCTCAGGTCTGGGTTGGTGCGATGGGTTTCAAAGATCAGGCTCCACGTCCAGTAGGGTATGCAAACACACATATATAATTTAAACAAACTCCAACTACTGCGTCCAGAACCCAACCGGAGAAAATAAAGGTGCCATCTCAAACACTGCTCGTCTACTCGAACACACACGTGGTGAGAATTACCAACATGATTAGATTGCTAAATGGTTCAAAGGAACAGCAGCTGGTAACAAATTGGGGATATCAATGGGTGTTACTTAAATTACAGAAAACTCCTTTTCTCTTTCTTCCCCCATCCCCTTTAAAATTGAAGGCATCACTTACCCTGGGGGCTTTCCTCTTGTATTTGTTGTTATAGTCAAATTTTTCTTTCATTTCATCTAAGAGCTGGCCCAGTCTAGCTTTCTCCTCTTTCCCAGTGTAATCCTGGCTGAGGAGGATATAGGATCTCCAGTTTGCAGAGTCAAAGCCCCAGTGGCAAGTCCTGTTTTCCAGAGATTTGTGAGAGTGGACCACAAATTTGTGAGGTGGGTACATAAGCCTGCAGTCCAAGCACTGGATGCAGGCTGCGCTGGGGTTACTGTAAAGCTCTGGCACCAAGAGTCCCTTACACTTCCCAAAGCACTCATGGTACACCTTGAAGCTCTTCTCCGTAAGCTCCAGCTCAATCGTGCTAGAGAATTCCTTCTTGCAGTGGGGAGGATAGGTGCCACCATAAAGCAAGGCGTTACAAAGCCTCTCAGCATCAGTTTTAGTGATGAGCCCGCAGGAAGGAGCGGAGAAGGGCAGGATGCCCATGACTTTGAGGATTTCCAGCTGGTCAGCTGTGCATCTGGAGCAGTAAATATGTAGCTCATCGCACACCGAATTAATCTGCTGCAGGGAGAAGTCCCTGAGCACTGAGTTCAGGATCTGGGGCAAGCAAAGCCGCTTTTCTCCACCCACCACGAAGCAGGAGATGGTTTCCCCTTCCAGGATGGTCTCGCACCTCTCTGTGGATCTGTCCGAGGGCATGAAGAAGGGACCAGGCATTACCGGAGGAGGCTGGATAGGGGGCAGATGCAGTACAGGTTCCGCTGGGTCTTTGCCATTGTCTTTCTTGTACATCTCCTGTGCCCATCGTGCTGAGAAAGCGGCAGGGCCACCCAGGGAGCTCATAGAGCTCAGATGAAACTGTTCCAAGGTCTTCTGCAGTCCTGGATGAGGCTGGAAGCTGCTTCTACTTACAGTCTCCATTTTTTAGTTTCTATTCCCAAAACAAACAACAAAAATCCCCAGTTATCTTCCACCCTGGTGCAAATCCACTTAAGGGATTTTTTTTTTCTTTTTTTAGAAAAAAATTATGAACAAAATAAAACAACCCACCCTTGTTTCTTTCTCCTTCCCACTCGGGTTTAACAATCCACTAACGAATAGGAAATAAATCCTCTTGTATGCGTGTCTCTCTCTTCTTTCTTTTCTCTTGGTTCGTCAATTTCAAAACCTCCAAGTCTCCAAGCTGCCCCGATGGAGCACAGAGACACGGCAAAAAGAGGTCTTCATCCGAGCACTCACCCCCTCAGCCAACCCCCCAGGCAAACCAATCCCGCCTCCCACACCTCCACCACACACACACTCACTCACACACACGCCACCCACAGAAATACAAAAAAGTCTGTGCCACGCTCCGAGCACCGGGGGCTCAAATATGTTCTGGCGGCTGCTGCTTCTCTGCAGTAATCACCCTTCTGTCCATATCCACCGAAAGCAAGGCGCGGGGGAGGAAAGTAAAAAGCAGCAGGAGGAAGAAAGCTTGGTCTGTGGAAGGGAACAACGCAGAAGAAAAGGAAAAGGCCCAAATCTCTGGCACTTCCAAAACGGCGCGGGGGCTTCGGACGGGCGACAAGCAGGCTCCCTTCCCCTTCGTGGTCCCTCAGCTCGATCTGGGAGGACTCCTCGTCTCTCGGTTCGCCTTTCTTCCCTTATTTCTCTCGTTCTTCTCGGCGTGCCGTGGGGAGCCGCGGTAACAGAGCGCACATCCTCCCAGCTCCTCTTTCCAGCAGAGACTGAGAGTGCCTGAGAGCTGAGCTAATGCAGCCTGGCTCAGCCTCCCTCACTCCTCCTCCGCCTCCCCCCCTCTGTTTGTTGG